TAGTAAGGTTTTAGTTCTGTGGGTACTTCACTTGCTTAAAACGAGTCGACACATGAGTAACACAAATGTGCTTATTTGTTATCTAAAAGACATACCCTGTAACTTGTTCCGCGGAACAAATAGATCAATCTATACTCTATATTAAGTTATGCAAAATAATATATAAATATATACCCTATGACATGTTACGCTGAATAACTTATGCCCTATGACATTTTACGTTAAACGATAGATCAGTATATACCATCAGTGGCATAAACTTTATTCTGGACCCCTATCCAAATAAAACTTTTGGGTTCCCACAGGCCAGACCCCACCCCGCCCAGCACCCCCATACACTGTTTGGGCGGAAGCTACACCACAGTTTACTCATTTTATTTATTTATTTATTTATTTATTTATTTATTTATTTATTTATTTATTTATTGTGTTCAATGCTTTGTCGTTCGATGTAATGCGGTCCCAGATGTCACGCCGAGAGATCTAAGACGTTCGTCTTTACAGAGCACTCGCATATTTCTATGTATCTCCACGCGAGTTTGAGTTTTGGCTCAGCTCTCGTACATATGTGGGAAAGTTTGCCAATGGCTTTCCTTGGGTTAGTGCCGTCATTCGTATAATGGAAGCTTCGTAAGAGTGGGGTCATTCGCATTACGGAAGCTTTCCCTTTTTATTGAACTACAGTCATTGGCTGATAGCTTCACATCGGCATGGAGCATCATGGGAAAATATACGGAGGCTCCTTGATTTCGCTATGAGGAAGGATGTTAGTTACCTGCGGTTTCTGGAGCGTCAAAAGTGTAACGTAGTTGTCAGCGAATCAGAGTTCATAACATTCTAAAATAATACAGTAAAATGTGACGTCATATTGATGTCGTTAAAATATATTTGTGTACGTCATTCCGACCTGAACAGCAAACGCTGATAAAGGTAGTGCACCTGTTTATATTTTCCTAAACGTGTCAGAATGTTGCATTCGAGTGGTTTGTCAAAGACTTTAAAGAAGAATAAGTCTTACTACTAAAGGCAGCGAGCTTCTAACTCGTTGCTTGAAATGCACCATCTGTTGCTTTGTCTTGTCTTCGAAATAGAGGAAAGGCCAGGTTTCGAAATGACCCACTGATCATTGATTTTTTAACATGACGCACATCATTAGTTGTGCTCATTTTGTTTATCTCGATTGAAATTGGTTAAAAGTGAGTTAATTTTCAGAGTTACATATCACTACAATTAAATAGTAGAAACATTATGCATAACTCCGCCATTTTAATGATTTTTAGAACCAGGTTACTATTCTACTTAGCGCTTTGTAGGTCTCGCCAAATTATTCTTGTAATGTAACTTTTAAACTACATCGTGCTTGAAAAGCACATCAGAGGAAACGTTGACATTTAATGATTTATTAAGCGATATTAACGAGTAAATTGTTGGTTGTATTTTACCATTTATATCAAAGAGGAAACAATTGTGAAAATTAGTGTAGTTTATATCTCATTCTACAGACAAGGTTGTTTCACTTTTTCAAGGTCAGCTTTATCGTCAGTCCACCCATTTTCAGCTGATAATTTATTCACATCATTCGAAACTTCGAGGTCACAACTCAAATGTATGCCGCCAGCTGACATTCGGACCACTTCAGTGTTTAATAAACAAAGATTGACCCAGAAGGTGCAAACGCATAGAACTATTTCTCTGTCAGTGATACTGTCAAATCAATTGTAGAAATAGCAGATGCATATTTAATAGACCGCGGTTTCTTTCTTCCGAAATTATGCAAAATTTGTATTATTTAATTACATCTGGGTCAAATTATTGTCTCGCAGAAGTAGTCGAGGTAGACCGAATGAAGCACACCTGTCAAGCGTTTGCAGCTCTTAACGGTCAATTTAAAATGTATGCCGTGATGGTTGCAAAAAGTTAATGGTGCCCAGCACTGAACATTAAAGGATGACTTGCAAAAATGTACACATCCATGATATGAACAAAACGATGTGTGCCAACACAATCCCTAATATGATGTGCAAAGTGAAATCTTCATCGTCTTAAATGGTGCATATTTCTGTCAAATTATATAACATATGCATATGTAACACGTATGCAGGAGCAGGTCCAAAACGCGTTTTATTCAACGTAAATCACGAATATGATCGATGTTGCAAGTATAAATAATGTATGGCAAAAAAACTATATATAATTTTAACAAACAATATTTTACCTGCGACCATATTGTCGATGAAACCCAAAATATATTGCTTATGTTGTGTTGCTGTTGTGGAACTTGGAATTCTTCTTTTGGAAAAATTAGGACATAGGAATAAAAATCAATTTGTACAAAAAACAAAAAAGAAAAAAGAAAAAAAAAACATGCCTGTACGAGATGTCTGTATGATGACTTCAGCAATCATCTTCACTACTCGACTACAATCACTATGCCTTCTGTACAACTGTACAAACGTTCGATACTTTTAATGTGGCCTCAGGTACTGCAAAGTGTTTACATTTTACACTTTTTATCATTCTAAGAAAAGGTATGGTGCCCATAAAAATGCCATTTTTTTGTTATATTCAAAAGTTTCCTGGGAGCGAAGTCAATCTGATTCTCAAAATGACATCAATCATTCTACAGCTGCGTGAGATAATTGAGAAATATTTGTGACAGTAACACAATAATATTTTATTTTTAATTTTTAATAATACTAAAAATGGGTACTTCTTCAAGAATTAATAATTATATTAGGATTAAGGAACGATAACTTTTATTCATCAATTTAAAAACCAGACCCAAGTTTGAAGCCAGATGCACAGGCGTCTAAAAATTACCCATAACTCGGTAAATGCCACTGTGCTATGATTTTGTATTGTTTGTTTCTTTGGTTTATTTAAAAAAAAAACATAAATGTCCACAAATTAAGAGTTGCTGTAACACTGTTTGTTAGGATAGAAACAAAAGGGTTCCGAACAAGGCTTGACACTGCATCAGCATATAATTCTGTACTATCTGCATCAGTTTATCTTTATGGAATAACGTGGTGTCATCTGTGTTAACATCGTCAAGAGAAGATCAAATTATGTTTTGTAATTTTATGATACTATCTACTTTTCCTTCCTCTATCGGATTCAGATAATTGTGCTGAAAACAAACACCTAGATCAATAAAAGTAAATCGTTTCTACTTCATCCTAGTACTGTGTTGCCAGCATTCTAGTTCAACTGTCATAGAAGATAAAAGTTACACACAATTCTAAAATGATTCCTAACTTTAAAAAATATATCCTGACTATTGCTGTTGAAACATTTTATCTTTTTTTATATAATTTTCAAGGTCGTGAAGTTCTTCCTCGTGACCTGTTTGATAGCCATCACCATGGCTAAAGATACCGAATCAGCGCCTGATACTTTACGACATTCTAACAAAAAGCGATCAGTTTCCGGGCCTCTGCTGGACCTCTTGGAACAAAGATTTCTGGGAAAAGTTGATTCTATCCTCAGCGAAAACTGGCTGGAGGAAAACAAAGACAGGACGGACTTATGTCTATATTGTGACGAATATTTGCGAAGATGTGCCTACAAATACAACTGTGACGTCACAGAAGCTAGGACTAGAGGGTCATTTTGTCACAATGAATGCACTGCTGTATTTTTTCGTTGTAGATTGGGATGCTTAGATCATAAGTAAATGAACTTAATGCCATTCCATAGTTTTCACGTTCATGTATATGGCATATTTTTTAGAAGTTGCATACATTTTCACAGTAAAGTTGACTTAAGAAATGAAGAGAAAGAAATATTTCATAGACGAGACTGAAAAGTTATCACAATGTATACTTACGTGTTTCATTTCCGCATTATAAATGTTCATTGTTAATAAATTAGCTTTGATATTAGTTATTTTTGCTCTGTTATGCAGTACTAGTAGTTATTATTGTTGTCGTTCTAGTAGTAGTAGTAGTAATAGTAGTAGTAGTAATAGTCGTAGCGGCAGAGGTCGCTGCTTTATGATTGTACTATCAAGGCTAACAAAAATGCAGGTTTTGTGGTTTTAACCGCCGAACCAATAGCATTAGTAGCTACTATCAGCACATTTGCATTTTGACCCGAATAGCTTTATAACATTCTATACATGTCTCGAAACTATACTGACATTAAAAATATAAAATGCATGTTGCAGATCAAAAGAGACAACGTATGTTTTAAATATCGACTGTCATTTGCCCTATCTACCGTCTTTACTCCATTTTAAGTCAAACACAACAGTTAATGTTGTTGTTGTTATTGTTATTGTTGTTGTTGGGCTTAACGCCATTTTTCAGCACACGATAGGCTATTCAGGGCGGCCAGTATTATTGGTTGAGGAAGAAACCGGGAAATTACCGGAAAGAACCACCGACCCACGAGAAGCTACTGACAAGCTTTCTCACATATCCACATTCGCCGAATCCTAGTCTCGAACCCACGCAGACAGAGGTGAGATGGCAGTGATCCGTAACGGACAGCGCTTTAGACCACTGGGCCACTCGGAGCCCCCACAGCAGTTCATACCATAGACCTTGATATGTTGTCGCACATTACGCCTTTAGATCAGGATCTATGGTATTTAATTGACTCATTACTGCTAACAAATTACTAACAGCTGTTTCGATAGGTGATCAGCTTTACGAGCCAAATATTGGCCTTGTGTCAGGATAATGTGACATGGTGGGACACCATGCTACATGTCTGCGGTATGATGTCCCAGCGCTAGATATCATTATAAACTGCCACACTGCAGACATCGTAGCGACCTGACTGTAACATTGTTAATGCTACATTAAACGTCCAAATCACACCTACACACACACACACACACACACACACACACACACACACATACGCGCGCGCTCGCCAAATCTGTCGGTGCATTATGCAACGGCCGTTCTGGGTTTGTGCAGTTTGCAGTTGGTCCTGATTTATCGAGTTACAAAAACAACCTTCATCTAAATTTAATCTCCCTGGATAATTCTGCTCCGGTAGCCTAGGGGTTAGAGCGTCCACCTCAGATGCGAGAGGTCGCAGGTTCGAACCCAGGCCGAGTCATACCAAAGACTTATTTTAAAATGTTACTAACAGCTGCCTCCCTTGGCGCTCAGCAATAAAAGGTTAGTGTTAGGATTGGTTAGCCTGGTGTCAGGATAATGTGACTGGGTGGGACACCATACTACATGTCTGCGGCATGATGCCCCAGTGCTAGACATCACTATAAACTGTCACAATGCAGATACCGTAGTGATATGATTGAAATATTGTTAAACCTACGTTAAATATCCAAAGCACACATACATACCAACATTGCATTAAATGTCGAAAATGAATCAGAAATTAAAATGCCTGAGGACCAGAATATATATTCGATACCTAACTAAAGTGCAGACACAACTGCATCCACGTTAAATAATTTTCACACTGTCAGCTACTGCTAGTGGCCCACACAACGCTTATGTGTGCCTGCCATGCCTGGATCTAAAAGAAAATGAAGAAACGGAAAAGAAACGAAAATGAACTCCTATAAACCTGCTTATTTACAGTTAGAAAAAGAAGTTTTATTTACATGCGGGTTTTCCAGCTATACGAGAACTTAGTGCTTTATTTTTTCTTTACTTCTTCTTTTTCTATTTCTTTTTAGTTACCTCCACCCCAAACTCATGTGTATCTTGCATTAAACAATATTTAATAAAATAATTAAAATATAGCATTTTAGAAGACTTAGATTACATAGAATACATAGTATGATTTTTAGGCGACCATATAACTCACGCATATGTCGAACCATGGGGATCGAACCCGTAACATAATCGTGCGAGGCGAGTAATACAAATAAGATATATCATTCCTTTTCATTTTTTAACTTTTAGTAGATCTTGAAACTTTATATTTTAATGAGGGAATAAGAGAAATATAATCTTTATGTCGATCCAAAATCTCAGAGCCAACCCTCACATCCACTGTCTGTCGGTAAGTATGTGTGTGTCCGTATGTCTGTCGGTATGTATGTGTATATACAAGAAAAGAACAGATTTCGAAATATCTTTAATGAAAATCAATATAGATCGAGTTAAGTTTCCTCAATAGTTAATCTATTTATATCAGCTCAGCTTAACGATATCCAGACTCCCTCACATCATGGACTGACCATTATGGACAGGAGAGAGAGGCTGCTTTATCTTCCAACAATGAAGAAATGACTTTAATATTGATTTCCTCTTTGATACTAACACTTAATTGCTACACAAGAGTAACAGCCTGTACTTCTACCCTGATTGATCACATCTACCCTGACTAACCACATTTACCCTGACTGACCACATGTACGCTGATTGACCACATCTACCCTGACTGAACACATCTACCCTGATTGACCACATCTTCCCTGCTTGACCACATCTACCCTGACTGACAACATCTACCCTGACTGATAACATCTACCCCGATTGACCAAATCTACCCTGATTGACCACATTTACCCTGACTGACCACATCTACCCTGACTGATAACATCTACCCTGATTGACCATATCTACCCTGATTTACCACATCTACCCTGACTGACCACATCTACCCTGACTGATAACATCTACCCTGATTGACCACATCTACCCTGACTGACCACATCTACCCTGATTGACCACATTTACCCTGACTGACCATATCTACCCTGACTGACCACATCTACCCTGACTGATAACATCTACCCTGATTGACCACATCTACCCTGACTGACCACATCTACCCTGATTGACCACATTTACCCTGACTGACCACATCTACCCTGATTGACCACATTTACCTGACTGACCACATCTACCCTGACTGACCACATCTACACTACCTATCCTGCCAATCTTTATGAGAGTTCCCTATTAGTGATCATTATCCTTTATGTGCAACTCATAAACAAGAGAGTGCAAAGAGAAACATTTTACACTCCAACACACAACACAGGTGTTTTAAAAACTTTTCTGAAAATGAATTTCTCACCGAACTATGACAAAATATTACCTCATTAACTATGACATAGATCCAAATTATGACTTGTCTGTCTGGAACCATTGAGGTTTTTTTCTATCCTAAATAAACACGCCTACATATACATCAAAATAATTAAACCATCAAAACAACCAGAATGGTATTCTAACGAAATCACCGAGGCACAACGTGAAACGAAACCACTATTATAAATATAAAGATTTTACAAACTATCGTTTGTGGAAGAACAAAGTCGAATCACTCATTGTAAATCGCAAGCGCTCCTTTTTCTTCGTGTTTATGGACATACATACATACATACATACATACATACATACATACATACATACATACATACATACATACATACATACATACATACATACATACATACATACATACATACATACATACATACATACATACATACATACACACACATACATACATACATACATACACATACATACATACATACATACATACATACATACATACATACATACATACATACATACATACATACATACATACATACATACATACATACATACATACATACATACATACATACATACATACATACATACATACAGAGACAGACAGACATGTTCTGTTGTTCGTCACTTTTGTTACATTCGTTACTTTTGCTCAAAACTAATAGGTTATCTCCTGTAATTAGTTTTCATTATATTGCAGTAAAACATAATACTATGACAACAGATTATAAAATGAAGGTAGTATTATTAGATAGTTGACTGTTGATATATAGTTTACATCATCGTTAACATTGATCAAGTAGGATTCGATTCATATATCGAACCTAAACAAGCACCCTTGATGGGACAGAACTATGTGTTTAATCTTATAATCATCTGACAAAAAGAGTCATCTGATCTGTATCAATGTTTTAATACAAAATAACCGTGATGGAAATTCTTCAGGAAATATATAATTAATTATACGTTGTCTCAGGGTTATGTTCAAACTTTGACAAAGAAGTAAAAATAATTTACTCATGGATTATTTTTTCTAAAAAACCGACTCTCCATTATTTCTATTTTTCCAATAAATTATTCCATGTTCATACCAATATAATTTTGATACAAGTTAATGGTTCACGCTAAAAGGTTCTCTACATTTCGTACTTATTGTTAACAGGGTACACCACTCATGTTGTTAACAGGGTATACCTCTCATGTTGTTAACAGGGTACACCACGCATGTTGTTAACAGGGTACACCACGCATGTTGTTAACAGGGTATACCACGCATGTTGTTAATAGGGTACACCACGCATGTTGTTAACAGGGTACACCACACATGTTGTTAACAGGGTACACCACGCATGTTGTTAACAGGGTATACCACGCATGTTGTTAACAGGGTACACCACGCATGTTGTTAAAAGGCACGCCACTCGGCGATGGACGCGTAATGACCCTAATCAATTATAGACTGTACTGCAGATATCCGTGAGGTGAAGATTTGGCTCCACACCAAACCAAAACCAACAATAAGATGCGCTATGCTTGATGACTTGTCCTTAACCTAAAATAATTTGCAGATGTCCAATGATAAAAAGAATTGTTTTAGCCTAGAAAATCTGATATAGCAGGTGCTGTTACTCGATTTATATAAAAAGAAAACCGGCATAAAACATGTCGTTTATCATTAAAATTCTGCATAAGGTATACCATACATACAAAAATGTACAGAACTGCAGTGCTTTCAAGAATATCCTTTCCGTGGAGAAGTCAATAAAAGTATTGTTTTCAAAATTACCTTCCCCGTAGTTAAATCAACGGAAGTGAGGTCCTTTGAAGTTTTGTCGATCTCACGATAAGAACAAAATTGAAGTGCTTTCGCAGCTTACATTTTAACTTGGGAAATCTGCAAAAATGCGCTGCTTTTAAAAGTTGCAAAATGTACTGTGCTCAAAATATGACTGCTAGCGTAGGCAGAAGAGAATCTACATAGATGCCAAATGTTAACAGTTCTTTCAAGACTTTCCAAACACTCTGAAGAAGATAAACAAAAATGGAAGTTCTGAGATGCTTGCTATAATGAAATCAACGGAGAAAAATAGAACCATCAAAAGAGAAATGTCAAATAAAGTGTTATAGGAGTCTCTGCCTGTTTGAAAGCCTGCGTTTTAAGTTAACCAATAATTTTTTGTTTGTAGAAGACCGTGTATACGTTATGTTACTTAGGTCAGTTTTTCAATGCAGGTGTTTCCATGGACCGCATTCTTTGTTGCACATATTTTCCTTCATCATACTTTCATTTTAGTTTTGTATAAAATATTGGCAGATATACATTTTTCTTTTTTTTGTGTGAAAATATAAAGAATTTTGTCATGTTCGTTCAGCAAGGTAACCGGTTGTATAAACGTGGGTCTATATTCAATGCGTTTGAAGTGTAAGCATCGCCGCCAATCTTGTAACTTACACACGTGTGTTATACATTAGTCAGGGATCAAAAGGAAGCTCTCAGGGTAAGCGGGACGTGTTCTACCCGTCACGTAGAAAGACAAACGAGGAACATTGACGGTCCAACAGTATCCAATTGAAATTCAGCCAGGAGGTGGGCCTAAATCTTAGATTAGAAAGATACTAGGATCAAGAGAAAAAAAAATCGTTAGTATACCTGGGTAGATTTGTGAGGAAGACATTGCCGTCGTAAGAATTATACTCCAAGAGACGCCACTCTTAAATTGGCGGAGGACGTAGGACAAAGAATTGTGAACAAAGAAAGAAGCTTCTTAAGGAACCATTTTGGGGGGCAACTTTCAGCGTGAGGTAGAAGTTCCGAGTCTGAGAGAGAGAGAGAGAGAGAGAGAGAGAGAGAGAGAGAGAGAGAGAGAGAGAGAGAGAGAGAGAGAGAGAGAGAGAGAGAGAGAGAGAGACTGACTGTCGGTACAGTCAGAGTCGGCAGAGGAGGATGAAAGTAGGCAGGGAGGAGCGGAAAGAGAAGGAGTATGAGAAAGAACCTAGAGAAAATTAGGAGAAACGAAGAGGAATCAGGAGATAAACAAAGCCAAGAACAAGGCGAAAACTCTCTTATGATGAGAT